AGACATTGGGGTACCCTAAAAGAGAATAAAGATTTCGTTATCAGTTGTTGTAAACCCGATAAGATACCCGAAACCCGACGGGGAAACCCGAAACCCAATGGGGCGCCCCAATAAGATACCCGAAAGTTATCGGGGCGGGTTTGGGAATCCATACCCCGCCCCGAACCCGCCCCATTGCCATTCCTAATTGGGAAGGATGGATAAGAATGGCTAGATAGCGAAGTTTGATAGTGAACGAGAAGGGTTGATTGGGAAGGTCATTTTTTTTTTTCGGGAAGTCTATGGTTCGTCATTGAAGAAGATGATGGTTCGATATCGGTTTGAATCGGGAAGTTTGTCTTCAAATATCGAATGGTCGACTGTTGTGGTTTGTTATTGTTGTAAATGGTTCACAATCGTGACTTGTGTTATGTTTGTTGTTTGCAACTGGGAAGTATTGGGGAAGAAGACACATAAAGTTACACATATGGTCCCTGATCTTTCACCCTAATGACGATTTTAACCCAGAAACTAAAATTTTTGCAACTTTTGAAGAATATATTTTTGGGATTTCAAAAATTGTTATTTCTGCAAAATATTTTCCAGCGGCATGAACAAGTTTTTTCATTTTTCAAGCCAAAGTGGTCGGGAAGTCAAGTTTATGAAAAGTGTGATATTTTTGTGTTTTCATGATTTGAAGCTTTAAGTTTTTGTCACTTATCCCAAATCCACATTAAGCACTTTCTCATTCCCATTTGGATTTTTATAATCACATTTTGATTATAAAAAGGGGAGAGATTATGATATGTGTATTTGGAATCAAAATCTTTTGGATATTCATATTTGGCAAATGATCATTTATGTTTGAAGACTGATGTGACATTAAGAGGGAGTTGATTATGAAGTGATTCGAATTTAAAATTATGAAGTAGTTTGTTTTTATGAAGGTTTTTCTCTTAATGAAGATTTTTGCAATGTGCTTTTATGCTCAAACTTTGGTAATTTTCCATGGAGTTTTGAATACTTAAGGAACTTAAGTTGCCTTTTGATGCTTTGGATTGTAATGTCTCCCATTCTAGAACCCAGATTAGAAGATCATTGAAGACTTGAAGATTTGTTGATAGCTTCTAACATTTTGTCATGCATGAGGTCTTGTTTGCAAAGTTGCTCTTTTTTAGAAATTGAAGTCGTATCATTCATTTCAAGCTTTGAGGGGAGAATGGTGGGATGCAAATCTCTTCATTGGATGGTGACTTAGGTGACGTTTAGATATGGAAGGCTTGTCATGTGGAAAGCTTTATGGGTGGTGCTAGCCTATAAATTACTTGTATAGTATTCATTGAATAGGTTGAGAGAGATTCCATTATATAAATGAGTAGTCTAGTTCTACAGAGAGAGGGGGGAGAGAGAGAGAGTGTGTGTGTGTGTGAGTGAGAGTGAGAGAGAGAGAGGGGGAGATAGAAAGTATTGTAGCAAGCATACACATGCTCTACATTTTTGTACAACTCCATTATTTATACATCTTGTGCTTAAATGTTAAACAATGTCTTTTCAATTATGTATGTTCTTAATTCCACATTTTTCATCTTCCATGGGATCCTACATAGTTTTCGTTGGTGTTTTAGTACATATTTTATTCTTAATGATGTTAATAGCTTACTAGTGGAAGATTGTGGAATGTTCCAGATTATCATCACCTATATGAGATTGATGTGCGGTCACATCTATGAATATTATTATGGCTACTTCTTCTAAGGGTCTCATGAAGTTGGATTTGTTCATGACCAAAATGAACACAACCTTAAGAGTCGAAATATGTTTAAATATTATATGTATCATATGTATTTTTTTAGATTATTATTTCATGTGGTAGTTCAAGACTTTAGTAATGCTTATTTTCTATTCAAATGTGGGGGATTTTCTTCTATTTGAATAAAAAATGTGCAGGATTGTTGATGTTTTATCAATTCTTGTTATTTTTTCAACTCTTGCTTGTCCCACATAGGAGAAAAAATGAAACTTTTATTAGTTTAAAAGACTTTATCTCTATTACTTATTACTATGGGCCAGTACCATAAAAGTGGGCTTGCTAATGAATTGGAGTAGATTTTGGGCTTGGATTTACTAGTGGCTCACCAGATAATTACATAGCATTGTTTCGTATACCTTCTTGTTTGTCATATTGTTTAGATGAAAGATCCTGGTTCTTGGTTTACTACTTTGTAATTCTAAAGCCTCGTTAAGTTAGAAACAATTTATTTTGGTTTCACAAGAAAAGAGATTATTTGGATCATAGTAGTAGAAATCATTCATTTTTGTATAATTTTAGGCATATCACAATAAGTAGCTAGAATTATGTGTTACTATATAGAATGACACACATAATAAGATGCAAAAAAAAAAAAAAAAAAAAAAAGAACATAAGATTTATATGGTTAAAATGATTAGGGTAGTTGTGCTATGTTCACAGAAGTATATAAGAGAGTTTCCATTTAATATGTAATAAACTTTGAACTTACTTTAATATTAACATATAATAGATCTAGGCTTTCATTTTAGATCATTAAATTGCACACATGTTGAACCTATAGAGTTATCCTCCAAGGAACTATGATTGATTGTTGTTGAGGTAACGAACAAGTCCATAAGCAATCATATTTCACAACTCAAAAATTTTCCACTTGGATTCTGATTAACAAACCAACTATCTTCCAAGGCATATACATATAGTAAACCCCTCTAATATGACTCATTCTTATTAATTATCTAAAAGATCAATTACATCTATATACTTATTCAAATTCTTATTTTTCACCACCATGGTAAATATACTCGTTGAATTCTTTGTAAAAATGATTTTCCTTTAGGATAACATACTGTCACTAATCAGTTACATGATATAGTGATATATCATCTGGATGTATTTCTTCTTTCCATGAAACGCTGGATTCTCTGTATAATGAATTACACTCTAGTTGCCACAAACAAAGAAATGAAATTCTTATTTAACATCAAAATCTTTGAAATTTCTTCAATTATATAAACTCTTTGTCAGTTTCAACAATGTCTACATATTCTACTTTTGTGGCTAACAGATAAACACTCTTCTAATATCTAGACATTCAACTAACTGTCATATCCCCGACAATAAACGAACACACACCACAATGTTCTTCCCTAATATCAAACAAAGTTTGCATCTAAAAAACCTTCCATGATAACCCCTTTATTTCTAAAACATCAGACAATCTAAAAATTGTTGGATCTAGCATGGAAGATACGAATAATTACTATATTGTTGTTATATGTGAACTTGTGAGGTTACATAAAGAACAACAAAAGAAGTGAAAATAAATGAAACATTTATAAATAATAAACTTTAAATTTACCAATTAGAAAAGATAGATAAATAATTGGTTATATACTATTTATTAAATGAAGAAAATTAAACAAAATGATCTAGTTATTAATCAATGCAATTAATTAAAACAACTAACTTAACTAATGACTTGCAAAGCTTTCATAATAACTCATAGATTAAAGCAAGCATATAAAAGAGACAACTGATAGTTTTTGGTAATTGTATCAATAGAAATTATAATAAACGCCCCCCCCCCCCCCCCCCATTGCCCTAGTTAATGGATCCTAGTAACAAATAACGAGGAAATGGTTGATTGAAAAAGTATTTTTAGAAATTGGCACCTAATAAAAGAAAAAAAAAACTCTATATTTTATTATCCTTAAAGTCAGATCCAATTAGAACTAATTATTATCAATAAGAACAACCATAAGATGTAATAATTCATTACATTAATTATAGGGATCCTTTGATGTTGGATAATAGTTAACACTCGATCAATGGTGTTGATCTTGCTTGCATGTGGATGTCGTTATAAAAGAGAAATCATGGTGTGTTCGGCATTGTGGACTTAAACCCTACTGAAGGTTTGTATTTGATCGGATACACTTCAAGTATGAATAAGAAACGTAAAACTAATCTAAGAAAAATAATCAACAGAAAGTAAATAACACAGAAGTTCTCCAAATTGTACCTTTCACCAAGAAAAGAGGTTTTGTCTTCACCAAGAAGACTGGTTTGTCACAAAGACGATTGACACAAAGCCACGATCTAACCACATAACATTAGGGTTTACCCTAATGTTGTATATATACTAATCTATACACATATATTCCATGATTGATGAGATTGTATCTAATCCATACTAAAGATCAGATCCTTATCACCACTACTAGAAAAACAGCCTTTTACGACGCTCATTGCGCGTCGTAAAAGGCTCAGACGACGCGCAATTGCGCGTCAAGGAAGGCCCTGTCATAAAGAGAGACGACGCGCTTTTGCACGTCATCTATAGACGACACACATTTACGACGTTCATTTACGATGCGCGATTATGACGCGCGTTTACGACACGCAATGCGTATCAAGGAAGGCCCTGTCATAAAGGAAGACGACACGCATTCGCGTGTCGTAACCTTACGACGCGCGTGTTAATGACACGTAATGCGTATCAAGAAAGACCTTGTCAAGGAAGGCCTTGTCATAAATGAAGATGACACACATTTTTGCGTATCATAATTTTAAATGTTTAAAAAAAATATTATTTATAGATTTGCTAATTTTCAAATTAAATAATACATTAAAAATCTCATAATAAAAAATAAAATACCATAAATAACAAAGATAATTCATTTCACTAATATGGCAAATACAAATAATTACTCCAATAGTGAGTAAATGTTATAAAAAAAATGAACTCAAGAGAAGCATAATTTATATACAATTGCATTATCTAGCTTACTATGTGCCAACAACCCTCTCTGTGTTTTCTTTTGCTTGAGTCTCGTTTCTTCCAAAGCTTCTAGCCATGCCAAAGTATGATATCTTGGGGTTCATGTCCAAATCAAGTAAAACATTGCTAGCTTAAATTCATCAAGTACTTGGCGTGAAGTCTTAGATAGAAGCTTAACAACAATTAATCTATAATCCTTCTAGCAGACCCTAAAGATCATTATTGGCCATGTACCAGGATCATCCTGCCAAAATTGGATAAGTTAAGAATATGCAACAAGATTGGTGAAAAGACATAAATGCCCCTACCTTGTATTCAACAGTAGCAATGTTTTGGTAGGAACTGGAATTGAAGAAGAATTAGAATCAGTCACGTGTTTGGTTGGAAGAAGATCCGACTACAATTTTGATGATAACTAGCATACTACAACGTTAATAGTGGGGCTTAGATTGCATATTCTTGTATATTTGTAGAAATTGGAGTTGAAATAACATGAATTTATAGAATCACTAGTAGGATTTTATGAATCAAATGGAATTCAATTCCAATTCCTGAGGAATCCAACCACCTCAAAAGGTAAGGTATATACAAGAAAACCAAAGGTAATAATATAATATCGTACCTCCTCATATTGCTCATGCACCAAAATTAATAACCAAAAATATATGCCCAAACTCAAATGGATTACTTTTTTAAAAAATTGGATTAACTAAGAGCTTTCAACCAAAATATAAACAACACAAGTTTGCACACATTACATTACATCATATTTTCATCATCTCATTTTGTTATGCAGTATGCATGTATGGATGGATGGATGTACCTCACGAAATGTCATAAGGCTTGGCTTGTCTCCAACAGGTGGCATTTGGTTGCAAACCATATGGGAAATTGGTAACCTAGCAGAGTTTTTGTCACCTGATAGTACACGACTTCTTGCAACAACTTCATCCATCCATGCACCACCTCTTTTCTCAGCTGGGCGAGAGTATGGGTCAAAGTAAAAATAGGAAATGGGTTAGCCTGATAAATCCTTGATACGATAAAATCTGACATCATCATCACCTAATTTTCTTTAGCCTTGAGAAAGAGATAAAAGTTTGCTTTCAATTGTTATTGACATTCCAAATTTTACTGCTGTAAGAATAGTAGTGTAAGATTTCAATTGATAATTTTATAATGTACCTGAAACCATGTATGAGTGCATTTGCAAGTGACCCTAAAGCAGCTGCAGGTTCCCTTCAACCTCTTTTACATAAAGCAGAAGTTGTTGTTCCAGCAAATAAGCGCCAAAATACACCAGTCAAAGTTGGGGTTAGTGGTTATTATTTCTCTAGTAATACTTTTGTATTTTGTAAAATTCATATGCTTATATACCGAATACATACATCTCTATGTAGGCAACTGCAGGTCTGAGACAATTGGTAGTTGATGCATCTGAAAGAATTTTACAGTCTGTAAATATTACTCTTTTGTCCCTTTTTAAAATTTTCCTTATTCTAGTTGATTTTCATATCTTATTAATCTCTATTAGAATTTAGATGAAGGATTTTCTGAAAGTTAAGAGCAACCTAAAGTCCAGTGATGATTGGTAATTGTTCTTGATGTAACTCAAGAAGGTGCTTGTTAATGGGTAAATATTCACACACTGTTGGGGTGGTTGTCTTGGTGGTGGATCAGTACAAATGGCATATGCTATTTTAGAGGCAGATGTTGCAAAGGCTCCAAGAATATCAAATGGAAAGGATAAATATGTAAACGAAATGTTTCTCATGGGAACCAAATATTACCTTTACGTTCACAGGTTTACCTCATCCCATTTTTTCACACACACATACACACAGAGGTAGTTTTTACTTAGTTTTCTTGTATCATCCTACAGTTACTTGAAGTAAGCATTATTAGCTGCTCGAGCTGAGATTCTTGGAGTGAATAAAAAGAAACAAAATCCCAGATGATAAAAGAAATAGATAATTTAGAATTTAGATTATATCTTACTGGTGCTAAACCATCAGCATCACCTAATTTTCGTGTAATTTCTGTTGGGCATCCAGCGTGGCCTGAGAATGCAGGTGTCAGCATCAACTTTTTTAACAGTAATTATATATATATATATATATATATATATATATATATATATATATATAAGGAAAAGGAAAAGATCATTAGCCCAGATGTTCATTCCATCAACAACTCCAACGCAAAATGGTATTTCCCTAATGGGAAGCTGCTCTTGATCAAGTCAAGAGTCTTTTCACCACAGATCAAATCAAAAGTGAAACCAGCAACTCCAGGCAATGAAGTTAGGGTCTTGAATGCGTCAGCTGGAATATCAACAAAGTAGGTGGCAATAATAACATTAAGACCAGAGCAAGCTGACTCTAGCTCAGACTAGGCCTTGGTGGAAGATTCCACTTGGTACCCCTCAAGATCCTTCACAAGGGTAGCCTCGTCAACCTGGATATATGTAGCACCTGCTTCCTTTAACTCAACAATCACTTCCCTGCAGGGGTAATTCTTGTTGTAATGAAACTGGGATTCTACTTTATTCTAAAGAACATGAAAATGATTAGGGAAAAGAAGCATACTTATAGATTGGAAGGATTTTATCAAGAAGAGACAGAAGATCAAATGTTTTCTCGACACCCTTTGCAGGTTTTGACAACAATAAGTAGCTGATTGGGCCAACAAAGACTGGGACAGTTTCAACTCCAAGCTGCATTACAAACAACCAACCAACATATTAACAAAAAAAGGTTACTAAATCCTGTTTAAAAGAATCCGGAAAGAAGATATCAAGAACACATACAAACTTAGCCTCCTTGTATTCGGTTTCCTTTTTAAGTTGGTTTTATCTTTCACAATTAGGGTTTTGGTGAGAGTTGTTGTGTAAAAGGTTGATGAAATATGTTAAGAAAATAAGTCCACAAGACTTCGATTCTTTTTCGGGAAGAGTTAACACTTTTTGATGAGTGGTAGTCAATTGATATTAAATCGGCTAGAAACTCAGCAGGGTTGACATGGTCTGGGCAAAGGTACCTGCCAAAAAAACCAAGATAATTAAACACCAAATAAAGGATTTGAGTTTTGAGTTTAATTAAGATTTAAGAACCCGCATTCTAAGAAGTAAGTGAGTGGTTCATTGGCACCTGATGAGTACTCCCGTTTTGTTAATTATATATTTTGAGTGGTTCAACAGGTATTACCTAATATTATAATTGCACCATAAATGGTTGCTTACTACAAGAACAACTGTGGCACTCCTGCTTCTCCCTTCAAAGCAATGAACCAGAACCTTCCCACCTTTTTGTTCAACAACTTCAATAAATTAATAAGCTTCTTCAAAGATCTGATTGATGTCTGCTTCTTCTTCATCACCTATATGTTCATGTTCATCATCACAACCCATTTTTTATTAAATAAAAAAAGGAAAGATTAATTAATCACTTACAGAAAAGTTTTGATACACAAACAAATCCGCCCGTTGAGATTAAGCCTGCCCGATTTCATTAGAACACAAACACAATATATATATATATATATATATGTGTGTGTGTGTGTGTGTGTGTGTGTGTGTGTTTGTAATCCCTAAATGTTGCAGTGTTTAAACAGATCTTGCAGCTAGTGCCCCTCCAATGAATAGGGTATGTGTGATCAGTGAAGGTTTTTCTGTGTTTCCAGCATCAGATATTAATGATATCCTCTCAAGAATATGCTCAAGCCTGAGCTCTAAGTTGCACAAACAAAGTTAATAATAATAATAATTCAGATGCTTCTTGTTAATATGTAAATGTTGATATTTTTACCTTCAATTCATAAGCATCAACAACAGAATTACTCTCACTGCCCTAAAAAAACCCTGAAGTGAATTTATGCTCTTGGCACCACCACTAGATCAGCTGGAATAGGTTGTTGATACCTGCAGTTAGGGTAAAAATGGAATTTCAAAAAACCACCTTGTTGACCAAAATTTCATGTAAGGCCTTGTTTCTTTTTTCCATGTAGTCTTTGTCTCGATAAATGTATGTTGGAGTGTAAGGATAAAATAGTCATTTAACCTCGTTTATTCACTTATAAAAAACAACTTTTATGTTATCCGGACAAACATTATGTACCCATTCAGCCACTCTATCCATATGGGAAAAAAAATCCTATGAACTGATTATGGCATTATTTTTCATCACTATTAAAGAAATAAAATATTGGATGGTGAAATTATGAGAAGAAAGTCTAGGGAAGTTTACCCGATAGATGATGTGTCAAGCTCTTTTCTTGACAAGGTAATCGTAATCACTGGCACGTGGCGGGTAGTTTCAAGACTAAATTCAAGAAAAAAAAAGTTATTTCCACATCATTATAACATCAAGAAAAAATAAAAAAAATGTTCTTACGGGAGAAGGCTTCTTCTAGGGGTTCCCACATATCTGTTATATCGGCAAAACCAATAGATGTAATTTGATGAAGACCAGCAATCCTTCTCTGAAACAACTAGTTTTTTTAATCAGAAAAAAAATAAAGATGATATATAGGTATGGAAAGAATCAAAATTGTTATATGAATCACTAACTAATTTTACCTTAATTAATTCAGCTATCATAACAGTTTTGTTAATAGCTCTGCCCATTGCCTTGAGAGAAATCTCATTAGCTCCTTTCTCCTGTAAGATCATATCAAGTTCATCGTAAAACAAAAACTCCAGACATATCGACAGATAAAAGGGCTAATCGCATTGAAAAAGAGACTTACTTTATGCTCATTTATGTTTAAACTATTACTTTCTATATGGAGACAGTTTAAATCGAGAAGCATGCCCACTGAGACAAAACATCAAACACTTGGTAGGCATCCCAAAAACGAAATCGAACAGTTATTCTTAATTCTTGCTTGAACAAACCCAACTTATCGATTGCAAAAATTCTAACGAAAGAAGGCCTGATTCCAATAACATGAGATACTCCATGTTTAGATCAATCCCAAAATTAAGAACAAGAACAAAAAAAGACAAGAAAAAGGATGCGAAAATAAAGACCTGGACGAGAGTGATGAAGTAGGGCAGACGAGGTAGAAGAACGATTGTAAAACCAAAAGGATCAAGATTAAAGACCTAAAAAAAATATAAAATTGAGTTCTAAAATAGATATGATTTCAAAAGACAGAAGAGAATGGATGGGCTGAGGATCGTAGGCGTTGAGAAGCAATTTGAAACAAAAAAACAAAAATACCTTAAATATATAATTATATTACCCAAGTGTAAGAAGTCGGAGGGGTGACTCAGCGGACCGGTGTTACCCTTCTTTGCATCATCATCGCACCATGAGAAGCCCTAAAAAACCAAAAAAAAAAAATACTAAATTAGCAGACTAAGAAAAAATAACCTCATCAAATGTTGTACCTGGGATTCAAAAACACAAACCCAATGTTTCATTCTTTAATCCTGTGGTATGTTGTGCTGGTGGTATAATGGGGCTTTATTGGTTGCGGTGGTGAACCAGAGAGAAGACGAAGGGTGGTGGGTGAGTGGGTGGTTGTCGAACAGTAAGGGGTAGAGAGAGAGAGAGAGAGAGACTTGTAGTTGGTCGTGTATTACCTGCATCAAATCCAAATTGAGGGAATGTTGATTTCATAAGATGAATTTGAAATCACAATATGTTTATGGATGTCCACAAATTTGTTGCTAAAACCTGGAGAATCGACCTAGGTTTTCCCTGACTTGTGTTCGAAAAACCATTTGTGGTGGGTAATGGGAGAGAGAGAGAGAGAGAGAGAGAGAGAGAGAGAGAGGTTTGTTATAGATAGGGAGGGGCGACAAACGAGATGTTTGATGATACTGATAAGAAGGAGATCGAGCAGAGATCAGATGAGAAGATTAACAAGTAGTGGAGAAGCAGGTCGGAGACGAGAGAGGAGGGAGAGGGGAGAAAAGAACAATGAGCGTTTTCAAAAATTTGGGGATTTCATTTTCCCCCTTTCTACTAAAAGCGCGTTTCATTAAAATTATAAAGCGACAGGTACAAACGACGTGCGTTTAAGATAAACCGCCCTCCGTGTTTTTAATTTTTTTCTTGAGACACTAAATTAAGGGCACGCAATAATGCGTGACGTAAATCCTTAAATTTTTTGGAGATATAACACTATTTTAAGGGCACGTCCGTTTGCGTATCATTAATTAGAGCGTGTCATAAAAAGCGCGTCATTAAAGGTCTATTT